CCCCCCCCCCCCTCCCTCCCCCGTGATACCCATTTCCCAGCCAGCGTTTTCTCATTTCCACCTGTGTCCTCGTTGGCTAGTGCAGCATCCCCGAAGATCGGGCATCTCCACGCTATTGTAATAATGATAATCGGCTACGGCAGCCCGTTTTTCCCTTATTATAGCCTCCCACTTCCTTCTCTCGCGATGGCAGAGATTTTTCCGTGAGTTGGCCGGTGGCGGGGAGGGTATCGACGGGAAGGTCGGGATATATAAATCTGCTTCTTATACGTAGACACAGGGGCGTCCGATTAGCCGAGGAAGCTGGATTTCAAGTTGGCCTCGGGCGGAGTCTAGGCGGTATTGTGCATCCGGATCGGAAATGACGATGTCGAGCACGAAACTTTCTTCTGGTTATTAACTGGCACGGAGGAGGAGGTGGGGTTGGGGCCGCGCGGTCGTGCGCCCGAGATAAGGCGTTACAAGTGGCCGGAAATTGCGATGCGACGTGCGTGCCTACGTAATGATAATGGCCAAGAATGGGAATAACAATAAGAGGTAGCGCGAGCGCGGGGGAAAAGTGAATCCGCGTGCGTATCGCGTAACCTTAGCGTTTCATTGAAACATCGAAGTTAGCACGGGCGCGCGCGCGCGCAATTTATGAATCAACGCGCGAGCCGAGCACAAAGACGCTCTTTATGAATTGAGCGCGCGCTCGCGGCCTTATCAGTCCCGGCGAATCTCTCTCGTTCTTAGCTGCCCGCGAAAAACGCATCTCACCGGTGAAGAAACAGCCCGCCCGAGGTAGACCGAAGTTGGCGGCCGCGACCGTTTCATTAATTAAACTGATGGAGGCGATTCCTATTATTCGTAAGATACACGCGCGCTGTATTTCATTGCTGCGCCGGATGTCTGCGTAACGCATTCATCCTTTTTGTTTTTCATTCACGCGATTCGGACTTTGCTATTCCGTCGCCTTCTCCCTCTCTCTCTCTCTCTCTCTCTCTCTCTCTCTCTCTGTCCCGCACACACACGAACAAGACGACGCGTATGCCGTGTTTGTAGAGTGGCATGCTACGTAAGTCGAAAGTCTCGTGACTGGCGCTATAGCGAATTAAAAAGTAGTTTCTTGTTTAACCGAATTATCGGATTTATTCGCGAGTAGGTTCACGTGTTTGGCTAGTCGATTGTTTTCTATTATTGCGAAAAATTGGCAGCACGAAAGGCTGTGCTACTTCAACTTAGATGTTCCCAATAATATATTGGTAATCGGATAAAGTGGTGGGATGGGTGCATTGGTAGTAATAGATAATTTATGTATATAATAAATTTTTTCCATGGATGAGGGAAAATGATGAGAGCAGTGGGAAGAGTGAAAAGCCGCATTGATTTGATTTTCATACGCTTGTTTGGTATACGAACTGTGTGCTAGTTAGCATAGAAATATCTTTAACGACGATGAAAAACTTCCCAGCACTTCCTATGTAATATTCACAAGAGTTATCTAGAGTTGAGATAAGTGCTTGGAGGGTATGTCGTTAAAATTGCATTTCAGAGGATTAATGTGGCGCGATAGATTGGCTTATTTTGCCAGCCGTAGCCACGCTGAATATCAAGAACGAAAGAAAGTGCGGTGTGTTTCTGAATATAAGCACTTTGCGTGTAGAGCAGTTAATCCTACTTGACAGAAAAATTCTTTGAGGAGCATCTTATCTTAACGGAGTCGAGGTCAACGGGAACCCCCAGGATAGCGGAAATGGCTCGTCTAGTAGTCCAAGGGCCGCTCTAGCCGTGGCGGATGTTGCACTGGCAGTAAAGAGGTAGCCTTAGTAGCAGGTGAGCATCGTGGCCGCGGACCTCGAAGGAAGTGACGCGCAGCCTCTTCCCGACCATCATCCCCCTCACCCTCTTATCCCACCAATTCTATCTCTCTCTCTTTCTCTCTCTCTCTCTCTCTCTCTCTCTCTCTGTCGGTCACCTTGTTTCTGTTTACCTCCCTTCCTCCCACCCTCAATCTTTATTGCTCTCTCGCTCGTACAATTCGCGTATCATGTAAACTCGCATACGGGCGCGAGTGGTTTATTCATTCTGACTGGATGCAAACGCGTGCGTGCATGCGCTCGTGCATGTGTGTGTGCATGCGTGCGTTCGCGCATAAGATCACGCGCGCGTGTGTTAGCAGCCACCGGCATTCGTGCACAAGTTTTACGCGTTCTCACGCTCTCGTCTCTTTCTCACCCTCACATTCTCTCTCTCTCTCTCACTCACTAGCTCTCTCTCTCTCTCTCTCTCTCTCTCTCTCTCTCTCCACTCCTTCTTTGGCTCTGCTTCGCTACACCACGTGACCACGCGTACACACAGAGACAGAGACAAATGTAACGGAGAGATGGATAGATAGATAGATAGATAGATAGATAGATAGATAGATAGATAGAGAGAGATAGAGAGAGAGAGAGAGAGAGAGAGAGAGAGAGTGTGTGTGTGTGTGTGGTTTAATAGTCTGCCCTTTTCCATCGTTTCTTGTGCCCTTCAGCCAATATCCCAATTCGCTTGGTGAGCACGACAAAAGAATACTCGAATAAGCCCGTGAAAATCGGACGGGAACCCAACATTCAGAAAATTGTGAACAATCGAATGAGACTGTCGCTTGGGAAGGGCCGCATTACCTCGTTAATGGAAAACGCAGCTAAATGAGCTCGGGACTTAAAATGCCTATAGTCAGAAGGACTTTGACTCGTGGAAAGTCGAGCGATAATATCCTATTGCAAAAAGAATACGTGGGTCGATCGTTTCCTAGTGCCGAGGCGTCGCGCGTGTAGTAACGCCGTGGCTTCGCTTGGGCGCGCGTTCCCGAGGGCGAAGGCACCGAGGGGAGGGGAGCACATCACGCGTGCGCGCGAGCGAGCGGCTTCCTAGTCGTAATAAACACCGCTGAAAAAGTACGACAAAAACCTGCTCGGCCTCGGGCGTCCTTCTCTCTCCCTCACTCCCCCAGCCCGCGATACCACCTGTGAATCGAGCTTATTATACGCATGGCAGTGCGTGCTCTCGCTCTTTTTTTATCTTCGCCGCTGCTCCCTCCTGCCTCTGGTTTCTTGTGTTAATGCGCTCCTCTTCTTCCATTTTACCTTAATTCCTCTGCTCTGCTCTGCTCTGCTCTGATCTGCTCTCTCTCTCTCTCTCTCTCTCTCTCCCTTCATCTCTCCCACCATCCTTCTCGACCATAAGTGAACACTCGTTGCTCCGGGGCTCGCGTCGGCCCTTTACATTATGCTCGGCCGCTGCCGCTTTGTCTTGCCGTTGCCGTTGTTGTTGCTGCTGCTGCTGCTGCTGTTGCTGTTATTGTAGTTGTTGTTGTTGTTGATGCTGACGCTGCTATTGATGCCGCTACGCCTGCAAATAGAACGCGGGTTCTTATCTTATCCGAGCGGCTACCACGGGGACTCGAGAGGGCTACCGATCTGCGGTACCTCTCCGCGTGCCGAGCTTGCGACCGATTAAGAAGTCATTCGGTAGCTCAAGAGGTTCCGATAAGCCGAAGGGCTCCGAACGCTTTCGACGCTCGTCGCTCCTCTAATCGAAAAATTAATTATGCCCTGCGCAATCCGGGGGAGTGATGTTGCGGTCGTTGCCTCACAGACACGAGAACGCCCCCAACGGCTTTTCGATGCTTTTGCTGGATGCGTGAAACGATAGGTGGCGTTCGGACGCTGGCTAGCTCCACTCATATTTACCCACGAGTTTATTAATCGTTACATTGTAACGCGTTATCTCACTCGCGTGAGAATCAATGTACTTGTGGCTTGGGTCGGAGCATATTTAGTGTGAAATTTGCCGGTTCGCAACTATTGGCTCCTACTTTCGATGCGTCCATCAACGGCACAATCGCCGCTCCAGTCCGACCGAATGAATGGACTCGTAACTCGCGACTCCCTGCACCGGAACTCCCTGCGCGCGCTCTCTCCTCACCACTGGCTACTACGGGAAAAGAAAGGGTCGCTCGGTCTCTTTCTCTCCTGTTCTGGAAATGAGCGCAACGTCGCTATACGTTGCGGTAGCCTCGCTCTCCAGGGCATTTCATTCATAAATCGAATCTCTAGCGCTCTGCTGTCCCCTCCCTCCGCCCCTCTCTTCATCACTCACACATGATCATTCGCACACGCGGGCGCGCGCGCACCCACATAACATAACCACACGCTCGATCTATCTCTTGATCTCGCTCTCACGCGCGAGCGCGCCCGCGCACATTGTTACGCTAACTGACCCACGCATACACAAACACAACCAATCTCTGTCTGTCTGTCTGTCTGTCTGGCTGACTCTCTCTCGCTTTCTCTCTCTCTCTCTCTCTCTCTCTCTCTCTATATATATATATATATATATATATATATATCTATCTCTCTTTCGGTCGCTCTCGAGCGTGAAGGGCGGTAGGGGAGTGACGGTATAGCAGAGGCTACCCTCTCGCTCACTCGGTACGCTAATACAAGAATAGTAGCGTCCCACTCCTTCTAATCACTCACCAGAGTGGGAGAGCCAGCGTGCGCCGTTTCTTTTACACTCCGT